ATTCTGTAACCTTTTACATTAAAATATGCAGTCCATATATGCCTACTGAATCTCCCATACATAGCATCTTTTTCCTAGTACAAAAATGTTGATTTGATATTGTACCTACAGAGTTTATTTTGCCATTGATTTTTTAAAAAGCAGCAGTTGTTATGTATTCTCCCATTATCATTTTAACGCTATTGCCCTATTTGCTATACTAATGCCATTAATATTCCTAAACAAAATTATGAAGATTTCTTTATGAAAGAATTGTCCATAAGCTGATAATATAAGTACTAGTTCTCTTACCCCAGTTTGTTCCCCTGCTTCTAGAAATCTGTAACTTTTTACTGTGTTTAGCATATTTAGGTAATAATGGGTTTTAATAGGACACAACACAGCACCTATTCAAATGACCTGCAAATGACGTATGATCAATAAATGTTGTTGGCTGACCAATTAGTGTTTTTACTTCATGAATCAAGAATTACTTTCGTTATACAAAATGACGTAACCTTTTGTATTTCAATATTATGGATATTTACTATTTACAGAAATAGGGAGATATTCTCAAAAATCTACTTATCAAAGAAATCTTAGAATAATAGTTCGGTTTTACCTGAGAATGGTATGACTTACAGAAGGAAAAGAGATACTGCTGTTAAGTTTCTTAATAAGATACAGACTCTTTTATTGGGCTAATGTTTCTTTGACAAAAATATTTGGGAAATAGGGAGAAAGTTACTTAATACCTCCCCCAGACAAGTTCTTTACACTCACTGTTAGTTCAAAGAACTGTAAAGACCTCCTGTGACACGTTAGAATAGATTTCCTGGTAATTTAATATCAAGGAAGTAATGTAATTTGCATATTAGATCTATAATTAGATTTCCTTGTTGATAGGGACTGACCCTCTTCAAATGCATAATCTCATTCTTTCTCCCTCTGTATTCCCTTTGAACTGGGTCAGTGCCTATCCAATAGCCCTTACAATGTTCTGCCTCACAGCATAATTATGATACACATAACCATAGCAGGGACTCATCTTAAGGGCTGGGACTCTTGTTCAGAAAAAAAAATGCATGGTAGTTCAAAAACCTTGGGATATTGGGCTCAGGCAAACCAGTATTCAAATCTTTCTTTACCATTTCCTTAGGAAAGCTCTATAGCCCCTCTCCAGGTTTTCTGTGTAATATATGTAAAGTGCCTGACGAGCTGTCTCTTGCTTCTCTTAATTGTGTGCCCTAAGTCCTTTTGCACTGGGCTTTGCGTATCACAGGGGAGCCGTGAACGGTGCAGTCGCATGGTATAGACCAAGGTGACAATCCTTTTATTTCCTTAAAAAATAAATTCAGCAAATGCTTCATATCAGTAGATTAGTGAAATGTTTGCGATGATCAGTCTATAAGCTAATAATATAAAAATCTTCATTAAAGAAACAGATGTGTCATGTAGCAGACTAAATCATGAAATAAATAACAATAGAACTGATAGTCTTAGTGACTTTAAAATTTTTGATTTTATATTTTTAACATGACTTTTCTGGTTTTCAACTTACCATCTTTTTTGTGCCTATTTTTAAAGAACTTTATTAATAATACATTTTATACATCCCTATGGACTTTTACTGAACTACGGCTATTTTAAGAGGGAGAAGGTAAGGGGGGTTGTCTAGTCTCACTTTTTAATAGACATGTAAAATGTGAATTTTTTAGACAGCTGTACTTGATTCTCTAAATGTTTCTCCATTTCTTACTCATCAGTATCATTTTTGATCATCTTAACTATGCTTCTTCCTTGAGTCTTCAGTCTTTCTCAGAGCATCCCATCTTTTTACTGCCCCTGGCCCCGTGTTCTTCTGAACTTTCTGAAAGCTGCTTTCCTAAAATCTGGGATAGTCGTTTGTCTAGGCTCATGTTCCCTTCTTTGGCTCCTCTATGTTTGTATGATCTGTAGGTTTTTACTTGGTCATTGGATTGAAGCCCAGCATAGCCGTTCCTGTTACTGCCTCAGTACCTTACTCGTGATCAAGTGTTCAGCAAGGCCAGATAAACAGTCTGCCTTTAGTGGCGTGAGGCTTCCAAGCTGACACCTGCATGTTTGAAAAGTCCCACAGTATTATTATGTTTCACCTTTGTGCCAGTATTGAAATTTGTAATAAAAAAAGGCATCATAATGAGCCTGCATCTGGTCAGGCAGTTGGCATCGGTTCCCTTTTCAATTTCTTGTCCTGTGCACCTCAAGGATCATAGAGTTGTAGTTGTGCACCTTCCTGTTTACAGAGACTTACTCCCCCACCCCACTTCTCCCGTCTCTTCTTGTTCCCGTATTCCAGTCACGAATGCCACCTGCCAAACCCTCAGTGATGCTTTAAGACTACAGTGCCTCCTGACTGCCAGAAATATAAACATTCTGACTATTAATGATTCAGATCCTGAAACCCAGATCTTGCTGAAGTCCAGTATTAAATCCTAACAGAAAAGCTAGCATATCAGGATCTTACCATTAGAGCCTCACCTGGCCATGTTCTAGAAAGTGTGTCTGAGTGAGTCATCATGGCACACGCTGGGGAGACAGACTCCCAGGTCTGACTAGGGAAGAGTGCGTGTACATGAGAGTGTGTGTGTGTGTGTGTGTGTTTTAATGCTCCAGCAAAAATCCTAGGTTTTAGAACATCCCAGGTCTGACTAGGGAAGAGTGCATGTACATGAGAGTGTGTGTGTGTGTGTGTGTGTGTGTGGTTTAATGCTCCAGCAAAAATCCTAGGTTTTAGAACAAGATTGCTTCCTATTCATGGTTATTTTGTTTGTTTGTTTGTTTGTTTTTGCAGTGTGTTAAGCCAGATGCATCCAGTGAAAGTCAGAACTAGCTGTAGGGTATGTAAAGTCAGAACTAGCTGTCTGAGCCAGGTCGACAGCAGTGGGATAGAGGGTTTAGCTAATCAAGTTGGGATGTTCTTCAGTACCATCACTGACAGAGAAGTTGGAGGGGAAGAGAGTAATCAGTGTGGTAGTTTCCTAGACAATGTAATGAATGTTACTAATTGCTGTTCTTTCTTGAAACCAGTGAGGTTCTTAAACCTTATTAGCATGACAGGAAATAGGACCATATTTCTTATTAGATGGGCAAAATAATAAAGAGAAAAGAAAAAAGATTAAATTGGCAATTTACCGTATGTGTTATCAGCTTTTGCTTATTGTTGAAAGCTACTAAGGAATAAAGTCGCTGTCAATTGCTGTTAAAGAATTGCTTTGAGGTGGGTTGCAAAGAAATGGAGTTAGAAACTGGAATGCCCAGCTAAACAGAAAAAGTGTATTATAAAATGCAGGAAACGTAAAATTATGACCACTCCACATTATTTGTAATAGCAAAAGTTTTGAAACAACCCAAAGTCCATCAGTAGGGAACTGTGTAAATGCCGGTCCATCCACACAATGGAGTCAGTGGAGCTGTTAAAAAAAAAAAAAAAAAAAAAAAGTGAGCAAGAGCTCTATACACTAACATGGAATGATCCTACTAGGTAGTTTCATGAAGGAAAAAACAAAAACCAAGGTACGGAATGGTGTACATGATATGTTACCTTTAGTGTAAGGGGGATTTTGAATATCTACACATTTGTTTATATTTTCAAGGAGAAACAATACAATAGAAAGATAAATTAATAAAAATGTGTAGAGGACAGGAGGGATCAGGTTAGGGGGGACCAGGAAGGAAGCAAGATTTACCTGAATACATTTTGATATATAGTTTCACTTTGGAATCACGTATAGTTTTGAAATAATAAGAAATTATATCCAAAAACACTACCCCTCATACACACAGAATATTAAAAAAAAGGAACCTAACTGTACTTTGTTAGTGACATAACCACATAAACAAAGAATTCTTCTGACTGACCTTAGAACATATTTTTACTGTACATTCTCACTGAGATATACTCTAAGGACAGAAAAAAGGCAAAGAAAGTTTTCGTTGGTTTTAGTAGTCTTACTATTAACAGTTATGTTGATGTGATTAGGATTTAAGATTTTCCCACCTAACAGATAAATAAACATAAAATTAAAGATATACATATGTAAAAACCCTGTATACTTCAATTTGAAGTATTAGCAAGATCTTATTCTTCCCTTTAAAAAAAGAAAAAAAAATGCCCAGTGAAAAAACCTAGAAAACAATGGAAAACTCAGTAACAATGAGCACTCTTAGCACACAGATCATGGCCCGCCTACAGAATCCAGAGGTCCTGGGAGAAACACCTGGTTCCAGGTCTGAGATGGGAAATGTACTTAATAGTCTAGAACATCTTGGGCAAGATAGCCAGGAATGTATCAAAGCCTAATTGGTCATTTAGGTCCTCTCTGAAGGATTCTCATTGGCCAGAGATGGGGTAATTGACAACTGAATATGCAAAAAAAATCCATAAATTATAATGATATTAAACCAGTAATAGGATATTCATATCACGCCTGCATTATTGTATTGTTGTTGCATGAGGAGCCTCTAGAGACTATTTTGAATGACAATTGAGAATATTAATTTGATTATGTAAATTATAGTAAAGTGTCATAATATAAATGCCAAGTTAGAGTTCATGGTCTTTCTCTCCATCTTCTCCCTTTTTAGTATCTGACCTGACATTGACTTTTATTGTGACACGAAATGCAAGACCTGGGTTCTAGTCCCAGCTCTTCCTCCTGCTCCCTCCACAGCCATCAATCTCTGAGTTTTGCTGAGCCTCAGATTCCTAACCCCTAAAATAAGAGTGAGAACGATCCTATGTGCCCTCTTTACCCTTAAAAACCGTGAGGAACAACCACTGACCACTAAGATACCTTCTGCCTTGTTGATACTATGAATTTCACTGTTTCTCCCCATTATTACATTATTAAATTGGCACATTCATGAAATGCCATTAGAGGTTGGAATTATTTATCAATCCCTAGAAAAATAAATATTGCTGGTTTATTACCACAAATTAGATGGGGAAGTAATCTACTTTGTCTTTTTATTTCTTTCAGCCATGGAATTCCACGAACACTTGCACAGCATAGGCACCAAGGAAGGTTTGAAGGAACGAAAACTACAAAAAGCAGTGGAGAGCTTTACCTGGAATATTACCATCTTAAAGGTATCCAGTGAGTTGTTTCTGGTGCTGTCGATTCTGCAGTCTTTTTCGGCATGTTTCTTTCTGTCGGTGTAACATTTCCCGCATCGTATGATATCAGCCGCTGGAGGATATACATGGTCACAGAATCCACTGCCCTCTGCCCCCCGGGGAGTCTGCAGGTCAACATCTGGGCAGAGTGGCTCAAAGGGACAACATAGGGACTTCGATGGTTGGCACATTGTGGATCCTGGTAGGAAGGGAAAGGACCTTGCATTTCATCCTTAAAGTATTGTAAAGTTCAGAAATGCCACTTGCTCTAAGTGAAATAGAAAGTATTGATTACAGAGGAAATGATTAGGAATTTAAAGATTCTAGTTACTCGAATTTTGTTTAACACTTTAAATTATAATCAGCCTTAATATTAATAGGATCCCAAAAACAGAGAAAAGAATCGTGTGGGGCATAGTCAAAAGAAATATGTAAAAGCATTGCCATTTGAAAGAAATTTCCTTCCTTCCTTCTGTTGACGTAAGAACAGCCAAACCTGTACAGGATTTTTGTAAGAGTTTGCTTGAGCCAAACTGATGACATATACCAGGGAGCAATATCTCAAATGCTCCCAAGAATTGCAGCTCCTTTTATGCATTTGAAATTAAGGAGAGAAGGTAAGGAAGATTGCATGGAAGTGGGAAAAAGCAAGGCTGGGATTGGGTTATAGGATAGTTAACAAGATTATGTGCTCTCTTGAGAGTGGTTACTTATTTCAAAGGTGAGTTAACCTAGAAGCACAGAAACAATGAACAGAGTTTGCTTAAGGTAAAGATAAATCTTTTACTAAAAAGTTATATTCCTGGATCATGACTACCCACCTTGACCTGCCAGTTAGGAGTTTATGATCAGATCACCCTGTGAGGTTACTTTCCACAGAACCCCTTTTTTATCCATCCTTCCTTCCATCCTTCCTTCCTTCCTTCTTTCCTTTTTCCTTCCTTTTTTTTTCTTCTTTCCTTCTTCTTTTTCTTTCTCTCTTTTTCTCCTCTCCTTTTCTTCCTTTCCCTATTTTCTCTTTTCTCTCTCTCCCTCCATCCCTCCCTCCTTTCCTTCCACCTATCTTTATACCTCAGCGTGACCATTTAAAGTAACTTTTATTATAAAAGTAATACATTTTCATTGTAGAAAATGTCAAAATAGCATAACCAAAGGTCAGTAGAGTTCCATCAGAAACAGTGACCGTTGGCCCTTTGCTGTACTTTCTTCGTTTTTTTCCTCTGCGCTACATATGATATGACATGATTTCTAAAATAATGCTGTGCATGCACCTTGATACTTTTTTGAGTTTTGTCTTAATGATCTTTACTTTTCTTCATCTCAGTGTTTCAGAACTTGGCTAGTGATAACACAGAAACAATATTTCACTCTGATCTTGGACAGCAAAATGTAAAATTACTGTCTGGTATTCACCCTCCAAACTTTCTGCTCAGTTGAATTCAAAACTGTGAAGACATTATCACAGCTGCCTCTTTTCATTTCCCCACTCCCCTTCAAGTTAAAAGATCCATCTCTACAGCAGACACAGTTTTCTGATTTGATTTAATAAAAGTTACCCTTCCTAAGCTAGCCAACTTGCGTTTTCTCAAGTTAAACCCCTACTCATTTTTATAATTTAAAATCATTTTCTTCTTCAAACACTTCCCTTCCTACACATGTGCTTTTTTTTTTTTTAATCTCTAGACCTTCAGCTTAGTATTTAACTGTGATGGTAATTTAGTAAACAGTAGAGATAAGAATTTACAATGAAAAGGAATTTGGCTTTGCAACTTGCTGACTCACTCCCACCAGAGCTAGGGGGGTGGGGAGGGGGGTGCTTTACAAACTTCTTGCAAACCTCAGGAAAAAAACAGTACAGTTGTTTATAGCTCTGTGATAGGAATAAATCCTCATTGGGCTTTTATTTTATTATAGGCAAAAATAGAATTAGGGACCAATCTTCCATCTGTCAGCTATCCTTGCAACTCCTTTGTGGTCCGGAAACCAGCAATCTGGTATCGCCTGGGAGCTTGTTCAAAATGCAGACTCCCAGGCTCCACCCTAGGCCCCCTGAATCAGAGTCTGTGATTTTACAAGATCCCAGGGCATTCTTACGTTCATTAAAGTTCGAGAAGCACTGGGAAAAGAGCCACTGAAAATGGGAGTCTGGCTCACATAATAATGAAAAACAGTTGACAAAGTAATGTACCAGATTTTAGAAATAAGTAATTGGACCAGATAACTATGCCAAGGAAACGTATTTCTTTTCGACTTGTCGATGTAAGAAATGTCCAAATCTGTAGAGAATTTTTATAAGAGTTTATTTGTGCCAAACTGACAACAGTGCCAGGAAGCAAGATCTCAGATGCTCTGGAGGAAGACAGTTGTTCTTTTATACCTCTGGAAGTAAGGAGCAATGGTAAGGAAAATTGCACGAAGATGGGAGAAAGCAAGATATGGATACTCAGCCAGATTACGTGCTCCCTTGAGGGTGGTTACTCCTTCATGGGGTCTGGAAAAGAGGATTAATTCTAGCATTGCAAAGGTGCCTTAACCCAGATGCACAAGAACAATGACAGGGCTGGCTTTTACTAAAAAAGTTATGGGCCAGGGGCGTGACTGTCCACCAGAATTTATGATCAGATCACTCTGTGAGGTTACTTTCGGTCACTGTGGTTGTACATACTCCCTTTTTCATCCACAGACTTATGTCTAGGAGAGAGAATTAATACCTCAGAGTTACATTTATATGGAAACAAATGTATAATAGGATATTATACATTTGTATAATATATACATTTGTATAATAAATGTATCTATAGGATAATAGATAGTTTTGAAATTTCCAGGATAATATTGCTGTGGATGTTGTCTGAGTATGGTAGAACCTAAGCAAAGAATGGGAAAAAATTGGAGAGATGTATGTCATTTCTGTACAATGGAAGCGCCTTTTTCCTTCCTATTTCACAAGCTTAAACCTTCTTTAGAAGAATTGGTGTTCCTAGAGTCTTAGATGTGACTTTTGGTCTGAGTTGAGCTACTAGCCTTTCCTGGCAGGAGTTCCTCTCATTGCTTGTTCTCTGTGGTGAACGTGGGGAGGTGGCAGCCCTCCAGGGCTACCTGTGGTGCGCAGTAGGCAGCAGGTGCGCACAGAGACTCCGAGAAGTCTTCAGATGATGCTGGATATGGAGAGTGGAGGAGAAGGGGGACAGGAAGGCCTGCTAAGGGGGCTGCGAGGCCAGGCATAGGAACTACCTGGGGTGCTTAAAAATGCAGTCACCTGAGCCCCACGTGAGACCTAGATCAGAATCTCCAGGCATGGGATGCAGGTATCTGCTCATTCAACAGATTCCTCAGGAGATTCTGAGGTACCCTAAAAAAATCAAATACCACCACTGTGGAATCAAATCAAAAGCATCTTTTCTTACGCATCACCCCACTCATTGGAACAATAAAGGAGGCAGGGTAACCAGTCATCCCGGGACTTAGGACTTCAGGGTGAAAACCGACAGTCCTAGGCAAACAAGGACAATTGGTCACCCTGAGAGGAGGCACCTGCCATAAACTCTTTTCACCTAAGGATGGTCATCTGAGTTTTTATGAATCTTTACTTTGTTTAGTTTTTTAATTTTCAGAATTGCTTTAAAATACAGAAATGAACAAAGAACTATCATCCATGATCTCCACACCCAGAGTGACCCACTGTTAACATCTTGGCATATTTACTTCTAGTCATTTTTTTTTCTTTGAATAAAAATCATTCATTTGTTCTTGTAAATATGTCTCTATTATAAAGACTTTTTTTTAATGGAGAAAAGATAAAAGTTTTAAAATGATCTCCGATTCTCTCTCTGAGAAATAACTATTATTAAATGTAGGCGACCTTACTCCAGAAAACTTTTTATTATGCATGTGGATGGATGGATGGATGAATGGATGGATGGATGGATGGATGGATGGATGGATGGATGGATGGATGGATGGGTGGAGATGCATTTTATTGATTCTGAGTCATACTTTTTTCATATTTTTGACATCTTTGAAGTTGGTAGGTATATTATAGTCCATGGTGTCTTTGCATTGTATCCTAGTTAAATTGAAAGTTTCCTAGTGGCATATAAAATAGTGGTACATTTCGCAAGCACTTGTGTCTCAGATATTATAAAGCAAGGTATATCAATAGATAGAATCCTACTATAATTGCTCTTTTTGATTTTTTTAAAAATATTACTTTTCTTTATTTAACAGAAGAAAAATAAACCGTAAAGAAGGTAAATGAATTTCTGAACAGTTTTTACTGTAAGAGGTATTTATTTCCTATAAATCCATCTGAGTTTAAGAAAAGAGATTATAAAAAATGTTAATAGGACTCATCTTTTTGAGTTTTTTTTAAAGCTACATGTTTTAATTATAAGCTTTGTTGGTTGACCTCTGTTATGAAAGATGAGAACATTAGCAGTCTCTAATATATCTAGGTAGGGAGTTAGGCATATTGTTATTTTCCCATCGTCCAAGTTTAAATATTTCCATTTGGTTCCAAAACTAATTAGTTCCAAAAACACATTGTTTGGTATAAATTCAATATTTAAATTGGTTTACTGTCACCACCAGTCCAAGAAGTCACCCACGCTTTTCTGTAGCCTGAGAGAGTGGCAGAGAGAAGAGATAAGTCTCAGCTGCGGGGGGGTGGGTGATAGACAGCCTTTGTTTAAATACTTGGACCTATCTTTCTCAGAGTTTGCAAATGTCCTGTTCCAGAGTTTCTGCTGCATAGTTAGGAAGAGGGTGTAATCCATTCCCATTGGCTTCTGATTGCTTTTTTAATTCAGAAGCCAGCCCTAAAGACCTCATTCCCATTAGATCATTCTCCCTCTCTCTGTGTCAACTTTATTGAGGTATAATTTATATGAAGTAAAATTTACCGATTTTATCTGCACAATTCATTGAAATTTGACAAATGTATATAGCCATACAACCCTACCACAATAATGATA